AAATAAGCAATTATATGATTGTTTATAGTCCACAAATTGTTGATTTAAAAAGAACAAGATCAAACTGTAACCTAACTACTCACTGAACAAATCTTTGCGTGACCCTAATTGATAAAATGTAAGAAACCTTTGTCATAACTCATAACATACATCTCAATAAAATTACTACTAGTTACATTTTCCTATTAATTATAAACTATTACTCTCTCTCTCTCTCTCACACACACACACACTGACACACACAAACACACGCGCGCGCTATTTGTGTGAACACTAATGTATTTTTGTATAGGAGAAAATAAATAAATTTTAGGGAAATTTTATTGTCATTTGTCACGTAGTGAAAAACAAATTAAATTGTGTCACACGTCCTGAAACTAACCTTTTGACGTGCAATAGTGGTGGGTTCCTTCCTAAATAATTAACAAAATAATAATAACAAAAAACAAGGTAAAAAAATCAAGAATTTTTTGGTAAGTGTGAAAAACCAACTTACCATATTTTGTCTATAAATAGCTACCTTAATTTCCACGAATCCCATAATCATTGCTCTCACAGAATTTGCTCTCTATAACCATGGCGGCTATGCAAAGAATCCCTCTTCTTCTTCTTTCCCTATTTTTTCTCATAGGTAAAAACAAAAACAAACATTAATTTATTTTTCAGATTCTTTTGATTCTTGATTTTTTACTTTTTTTTTTCGGAACTATTATTTGCAGGAATACTCTCGAATTATGTTTCGGCGACGGTTTTTACACTCCAAAACAGTTGCAACTACACAATCTGGCCGGGGACACACTGCGGCAATGGCGCCTCGCTACTCGGCGAGGGCGGTTTCGCACTGTCGCCGGGGGCCACCACCCAATTCCCGGCTCCGCCGGGCTGGTCGGGCCGCTTCTGGGCCCGAACCGGCTGCAACTTCGACTCCGCCGGCAACGGCAACTGCACGACCGGCGACTGCGGCGGCAAGCTCAATTGCGCTGGCGGCGGCGAGCCGCCGGTTAGTCTGGCGGAGTTCACCATCGGCGGCGGCAGCTCGACCATGGACTTCTACGACGTCAGCCTTGTCGACGGGTACAACGTGGGGCTCGGGGTGCGGCCGTCTGGCGGCTCTGGCGCCTGCCAGTACGCGGGCTGCGTGGCGGACGTGATCCCGGAATGCCCGAAGGAGCTGCAGGTGGTCGGCGCCGGCGGCAAGGTGGTGGCGTGCAGGAGCGCGTGCGCGGCGTTCAACACGCCCGAGTACTGCTGCAGCGAGGACCACGCGACGCCGCAGACGTGCGGGCCCACGCCGTACTCGGAGGTCTTCAAGAAGGCGTGCCCGTCGGCGTATAGCTACGCGTACGACGATTTGTCGAGCACTTGCACTTGCACCGGTTCCGATTATCTCATTACGTTTTGTCCCTCAGCCTAAATTAGATTCATTGTTGATTAGTTTGTAGGTAGAATCACAAATCTTTTTATCCTTTTTGTTTTTTTTTTTCTTCTGTTTTTGCAATTTTATGAGAGTATTTGTTTTCTTAAATATTCATGACATTGTTGTTGGTAGTTAATTTTGATTTATGAGAGTATTTGTTTTCTTAATACATTAATTGAAAAAAAAAAAAAAAAACTCTTAATAATTATATACCACCTAATAAATCATAGTAAATAAAATTAGCCAATATGTACTAAATCATATTAAAACACAAGATTATACAAATGTGGAATTGATACCATAAAATTAGAACTATATATTACATTTTTTTTTTCAAGGCCTTAGGCCAATGTTTACACATCACTTCTCTCTCATCCATTCACTATTCATACATAATTTTCTCTCTCTACATCTTTGGCTTTTCCTCTTTGAAAAAGCCTTACAACCCCTCAACAAATCATTCCCAATAAATCTGGGCCTGGGAAATTGAAAATTTCTACACCTAATAAACCTTCAATATGTGCCAACCCTTTTCCCCTACAAAGCCCACCCGACAAAAACGGCAAGCCATCGAATCGTAAAAAAAGAAAAAAGAAAAAAAAGAACCCTACAATTTACATAGTATTCGTCACAACCAAGAACTTAACTCACCCCATCCGGTGCAAAGACCTTCGCCCTCGTCGTCATTGCTAAATAAAGTCTGGTCCGAACAATCGAGCGACGCTCCACAAGCTAAGTTGTACGATTGACAGGCGGAGCGGCACACTCGTATTCTGTTGTCTCCGTCTTTATCGCACTTTTGAATCGATATCTGGTTTTGAAAATATATAATTCAATACGAAAGTAATGAGTACGTAAATTATTGCTCGAATTTCAACATTTTAGAGGGAAATAAATCCTAAGAAGTTGTAAGAAAAATAATTTACGTTCGGAAAAACTCACCCAACAGGCTAATCTCTTAGCAGCACCGTCACAGTCACGGCCTCGAATGTAATTTAGAAACTTCCGAGGACCCCCGGGGAAAAGTCGATGGTAATTGGGCATGACAACAACTTCTTCGAGCTGTTGCAAGATACTGAGTTCACTCGGTGCACAATGTTGTCCTAAAACATCTTTCTCGAGTACGTCTTTGCACACTGAAAGGCTCGGTAGAAGCATTGAGCTGTTTTGGCAAGTGTAGCCTGCATAGTCGGAGCACCGAAACTCACATACACCATTGTCACATACTCCACCGTGAAGACTGCATTGTTCGTCGCATATAGCTGCATATATTACCAAATTAATTGATATTAATAATAAAATAACAATAATAATAATAATAATAATCATAGTAATAACAATAATTGTTACGGGTGGAAATTGGAATGAAATTTCCGTATTCTGCCGATTCCGAGTATTACCGAATTTGGAACAATATTTTTCGTTCCAAATTCTGAAGGTTCCGATATTTAGAAACCAAATTCCAATTCAAATTCCAATTTCAATCTAATTTTAATTCAAAAATCAGAAGTTACACTTACAATATCAATATTGTTAAATATTTTATATCAGAGGTGACTAAAAATATGGCAACTCCAAATTCCGCGAATTTGATTCCGAAAATTTCCTATTCTTGGAACATATTTATTTATTCCAATTTCTGAAATTCCGATTTCTGATTCTTTCAAATATTTTTTGAACAGAATAGGAATTGGTTTTTCACTCCCGGTAAAAAAAACTGCATTTTTCTACCGAAAATGCCAATTCCGATCCGTTCCATCCGATTTCCATCCCTAACTATAATAATTAATTAATAATGATAAAAGATAGTAATTACCAGTGGAGCAATCAGCGCCGGTGAATCCTTTTTCACATTCACAAATACCATCTTTATGGCACTCACCATGACCCCCACAGTTGTTAGGACAAGAAGCTATAAAACAAATGACAAAAGGAAAATCAGACAAACATACTAAGATTTACAATTATCGATTTTTTGCCGAAAAAATTGAATACACTCACGCTGGCTACAATCACGGCCCTCAAATCCAAGAAAGCAGTGACATTTTCCATCAATACAATCGCCATTAAAATGACATGAATTAAGACATTGACCAGATACAGGAACGGGGTCAACATTGCAGAGTTCGTGGTAAGCAGGGCAGATTAGTTCACCTACAGTTAATAAACGACACAAAAAGACCAATAAATTAGGAACTGAAAATAGTGATTTAAATTGAAGTTTCGGACATATAAAATAAACCATCGAACGAGATTTTACCATTGAAGCCAGGAAATTGAACGGGCCCGCCAGATTCAGGACACACTTTCCAAATCCCATCCACGGCAATCTAGAAAAATTAAACATTTAAAATATAATCATAAAAAAATAATCTTGAATAAATTTTAGTTACTAAGCACGTTTTTATGCACGAAATTATACCTCAAGTGAATTATTCATACACCTATGCTGATAACAACCGTTTCCTTGGGTAGTCGAACCCCTTACGAACCCACTTCGAACTAGTGACGAGGCCATGCACCTGCATCAATTTATAAATAATTAACGTCTTTTTTTTCAATTTTTTTCGTTTTTTGTGAAAAAATAAAATAAATAAATAAATAAAAATCTCACCTTGAATTGGTTCCTCTTACTTCACCCAACATACTGTCGGGCGCCCTTGCACTATTAGTGTCCGTACACGAACCATCGGAGTAAGCTACAAAGTAAGTGCAATAATCAGCCAATGACGATTGGCCACCTGGAAAATAAACGAGAAGAAAGAAAAACTGTCAGCATCATGTTTTTAAAAACCTGGATATAGCAAAAACCAAGCCAACTTCCTCCAATAAATACTCTGTAAGGCCTTGTTTGGTTGAGGAGATTAGCCATCATTAACTAAATAATTGCACGTTCGTAAGCCGAATAATTTTCCACCGGAAATATTATTTTATCATGCCCCATCTTGCGTTTTAGGGGGAATATGTTTTCGTTAGATTATTTAATTTATCTTAGCTAATAGCAACCAAACGAGGCCTTAAGAAGACGACTAAACGGACTTAAAATCACGGGTTCGCTAGATTTTTCTTTAAAATAGATACAATTTCCAATAGATATTCATTTAAATACAAAAAGAATAATAAAACATAAAAATAAAGAGTTAAATTTCTTTAGAAAATAATAATAAGCAAATCAAGAAACACACCTTTGTTAGGCTGTGGGAAATATCGGGACCACTGAGGAAGATCCCCACTGTAGCTTACGATGGGGCAGTACCCTTCCGCTTCCCTATTATAAGTACACCCCGAAAACTGAGTTGAGTTGCAACGGTAGGCGCCTTTCCAATGGTTGCAAGGTGAGGTAACAAACTCGGTACCCTGGTTTCTACCCCAGTCGAGTCGGTCAGCCACACTGTAGTTAGCACGGTACCACCCACTATCCTCCAGCAGAGCGAGTGTCATTTTCGAAACTACCGATCTTGTGTCGACCGAGCCTGTCATAATCTCGTTCATCAATAGTCTTTTCTCCCAGTGGGACCCTGCCGCCAAAATTTCATTGTTTGATACCAATTAGTATCATAAAATGCATTTTATATATATATATATATATATATATATATATATATATATATATAGAGAGAGAGAGAGAGAGAGAGAGAGAGAGAGAGAGAGGTGAATGAATAGTATTTTACCTGATGTGCCACGCCCACCACCATCTTCAAGCTCCAGTCCGGTGAAATTCGAGTTTTTCATCCATGGCTTGTTCTGTAACCTACGAGGAGGTATAAGTATAACCAATTAACTGGATTGCAACGCTTTGTATGTAGATAAAAGTAAAAAATTTCGAGGAGTTGCATATAATCAAATGCTGTTAGGAAATGCCGCTTGAATATCACATTCATCATGGTACACAATTTCGTCTTATGAACGACAGTGTGTGTGTGTGTGTGTGTGTGTGTGTGTGTGTGTGTGTGTGTGTGTGTGTGTGTGTGTGTGTGTGTGTGTGTGTATTTATATTTACCCGAATACGCCTTCTTTTTCTCTCATCGCGAAAATGAGCAAAGGCATGGGGATCAAATCCAAGAACATGCATCACCTAACAAAGGCGAAAGAAACTTCACTACATTTAATACAAATAAGCATTTCGAAAAAAAATCAAGAATATATATATATATACAACTCAATCTCAATTAACACACCTCGTGAATCAGTGTGGCAGAAAGTAAAGTTTCTGCTTCAGCAGTCAAGTGACGAGGTGCAACATTCACGTGCCCAGCAATAGCACGACCCCATTGGTCACGTTCGCACGCTACGGCCCACGCCAGAGTATTGCCAGTTGTCGGTCTCGTCGTAACCAAAAGAACTAAATCCGCATCAACAACACCCTCTAAAAAAAGACGAAAAATATTAAACTATTAAATTGCAGAAACTTAATACGGGATGATAAAAAAGTTATATATAACTAATAACTTTAAAAACGTGAAGTATTGTTGCAATAACAATACCTTCGACATATTCCCTAGGAAGTTGCACACCTCCATCTTGACCGCATGCGGAATATCCACTCAACCGAAGATTCCCTTTGACTGGTTCGACGGATAAGGCTCTTTTGAACCAATCTGCCGTCTGTCCAAGAGCCTGAAGAACTAAAACGTTAGTCAACTATTAAAAAAAAATCTTTAAAGAAGATTACACAATATGAGATTTGAAGTAGAAATAAACCTTACGAAGGCGATACTTCTTGTCCTTCCCAGCTATATCATCAAATGTACAGTTATACCAACAATCACCGTAAATCGGAGGATCTCCATTAGGGTTACAAGAAGGAGTACCGGAAAACGAAGCACCGTTTGGTTCGCCCAGCTGGCAAATGAAATCCAATATTAATCCAAAAGTAAGAATTTATTGAAATTTAACCAAAAAAAAGGAGTATCATTTTTATTTTTTTCTGCATATACTTGCCTTGACCATGTCACCCACACTTCGGCAATCTCGATCCGAGGAATGGCCCACAGCATCGTAATTCAGAAAGATTCTAATGGGTTGCTTAGCATCGTTTTTCTGATTCCTTAAAGATTCAGAAAAACCGAGCAATGACCTCCCCCTTTGTTGAAGGGTATTATTGGAAATATCGGGTTCGACGTAGACCTGAGCGGAGACGGAATATACCTTACGACCGGGCCTTTTTCTTTGTTCGATAATTTGATCATGAATGCAAGAATGTGTAATTATGTTTTCTTTGTTGTCCTGTTTGGTTTCGGCTCTCTTCACTCTAAATTCTTTGGGTTTCGCAAACGCAGCCTCCAAAAGCAGAAAAATCAATAAAACCTGGAAACACAGACATCAAAATTGTTATTACACAAATCCAAGTTCTTGGAAACTACTTCGATCAGATTACATTACATCGATGAGGAAAAATGTCGAGTTCGTGATCTTAGTACAGCAAAAGCCCGTCATACTAATCGATCAAGTACATACTATTCCCACAATCATCAACACATAAAACAACAACAATAAAACATTTTCGAACAAGCATTTAAAATTAAAAAAAATACGGTAAAAAAGAAAGCGGAAAATTAAATGACTTCTCATAGCAAGAGGGCTAATTGCTAAAACCCAGAAAGGAAAGTTTTCAAAGAACAAGGAAATGTAATAATTAGCTCAAGAATTGATGAAATCCCAGTTCAGGAACATCAAGATTCACCAAAAATAGGAACACACAACTCTTTTAAGGAAATGGGCAACACTTCAGACAATCTTAAAACCCCCAATTTTCTTACCGTTACAGCTCATTCAACATTAAAAAAAATCAAACACCTTCAGACAACAAAAAAAAATTGAAGGAAAAGAGCAATCAATTAGAGTGAGAAACAAATACCTTGATACAAACGAAGGCAGAATTCAGAGTAAATGTTCGGAGTAGAGAAAACCCGGCACACCGGTTGCACCGAATCCTAAACTCCATGAAACGGCGGCGTTTAACACCAACAACCTCGTTCCCATCAAATCCCCGCCGCCGCCGCCACCACTTCTCCGATCGGCTCCCATCCGTTGAACAGCCCGAATGCACACCGCATTATGTGCGATAAGACACAAAAACCCTCGAATCGACGAAAACCCTCAAAAATAAAAAACCCAGAAGAGATTTTCAGCTTTCGAACAACAAGTCTTCTCCAAAAAAAATAAATAAAAATTGGGAGCTGTATTCCCTCCCTCGGTTAGTGTGAAGAAGCACACAGTTCACAGTTGTCTGAAGAAGAAGAAGAAATCCACTGTAAGCAAGCAAGCAGACTCTCGCAAAATCCTCAGTTCCACGAGATTTTACAAATTCACAACGCAAAAAATGGGGATGAATTTTTTTTTATTTATTTTTTTGCGCCGGTATTAATTAAGTAAATAAAGTAAAGTTGGAATTGGTGGGGTGGGTAGAGTTAGATTGAAATTTTCTGATTCAGAGTAGATTTCAATTTTTTTATTTTTTTATTTTTTATTTTTTATTTTTATTGTGTGTGTGTTGTGGAGATGTGTGTATACATACACATGTATGTATATGTTTGGACAAAATAGGGGCAAATTAATGTATCATGGATTGGTTTTGTGTAATAAAGTTGGTATTAAGTTTGTTGTGAATTTACTACAATACCCCTACTCACTTTTTATTCTATTATTAGAAAAAGTTGGGCTGTGTTTGCCAATTTCCAAAAAAAACAAGTCCTCATTCCATAAAATATACTGGTATTTACTTAACTTTATAAAGACTCAAATGCTTTTTTAGGAATAGTTTGAAAATATTTTCTTAGAAGAAATGGTGATATACGGTCAAAACGAGATGTAAGATGAAATTATGAAAAAACCACTCATGTTTGGGTAATTACAATCGTCCATTAATTGTGATTTTTTTTTTACATGTTCATCATTACGTGACAAATTCAACATAGTCTTATAGATTTCGTGGAATGATGTTATCTAATTTGTACTTATTTTATGCAAAATGTAGTTTCTGATTCACCACAATCTGATGTTTACAAGTCAAGAGTCACATCTTTTATAGATTACCTTGTCTAAAAAAGTGGAGCTGAACTGCGATAAAATGGGTACAAACTGGAGAATATTCCACATAATCTATAAGATTCTATTAAATTTGACACTGCAATAATGAACATGTAAAAAAATTCATAATTAATAGGGTAATTGTAATCATCAAAACGTGAAGGGGTTTTTCGTAATTTAACATTGTATCAAGAGTATCGTAAACTAAATACCCTATTTTCTAACATTTTCGAACAAATTAAAATACCAGCCAGATTTGCCAAACATAGCCTTAACAACCGGGTATCATTATTTTTTTATTATGGAATGCCGCAATCAGTGTTGACTAGGTAGTTTAATATTTTATTTCACTTTGTGATAATGAAACACACATCAAACATAATAGGGTAAATTACAAACACCCCTGAGGTATGGTCAAATTATAAAAACACCCCTCTTGTTTGGATAATTACAACCACCCCCTCAACTCCTCAAATTTAGTGGAATCTTCGAGATTATATGGAATATTATCACTTGTGTACCCGTTTTATCCCATTCAAACTCTACATTATGAAGCAAGATGATCATAATATGTGATTTTTAGCTTGTATATATCAGTTTGTGGTGCATCGGAAACTGTATTTTTACACAAAACGAGTACAAACTAGAGCACATTCTACGGAATCTAGATGGTTATGTTGAATTTGGCACAATAAGGGTAGAGATGTAAGAAAATAATCATAGTTGAGGGGGTAGATGTAATTATCCAAACAAGAGGGGGATTTTTGTAATTTGACCATACCTTAGGGGGGTGTTTGTAATTTACCCAACATAATAATAATAATTTATACGGCGGCTTATATTAATAATAACCAAAAATATATTAATATAAGAAAGAGATTAAAAATAAAAATAAACTAAAATAAAATAAAGAAGAGGTTGGATTTATACAATGATCAGGAAAATTAAGTATTTATTAAGGTGGTATGTGTAAAAAAAAAAAAAGATTAAAGATGGTGATTGTGAGTAAAAATTAAACGATTGTAGTTATATATATATACACGAATAAAAACGTACAAGTATTCCTTCTGTTACGGCTTTTGATTTTCTTATATTATAAAAGAGGTATAAACAACACTGAACAAACCAGTTCGACTTAACTGAGAAAATATTTACAAGTACGATTGAAATCGGGTTGCGAAATGTTGTACTCTCGTTACTCCACCGATTAAAAAGTTTCTTGTTGGGCACCTAATTGAACTCTTTGGTTGGATGTGGAGTAGTTAGGGTTGGTTTTTAGATTAACCTAAAACAAATTAATTGTTCGATTTCTCCAATCTTTGACGGCTCTAGTCCAATTTCCCACCCAAATCCAACTCCATCTAGTACTATTCTATTCAATGTTTTAAGAAATGCTTTGCTTAACGACTATGTTTTACGCCTCGTTTGGTTAGAGAGATTAGTCGTAATTAACTAAATAATTAGACTTTATCTGAAATTTAGTAAACCCAATAACTTTTCGACTCGAAAAATATTATATTATACTAATTTATCTTATAGTTTACGAAGTTTTGTTTATGGAATCTTTTATATTCCAATACAATCGGCTTCTTCATTAACTTATTTAATCTTATCTTGGTTAATTATATCGTGTCAACCAATCGAGGCCTTAGAATACATCTCAACTAACAATTCATACATCGTTTCTCTAAATTGATTAATTAACATAGTTTAATCACCATTCTGTAACAAATCAAATGTCTAAGATCCCTAAATCCCCACAAAACGATTAATGTGAAAGCATTTATTATATTTACATGTATTTTTTTGAAAAACAAAATCATGATTATTTCGATGCAAACAACCCCATGAATCATGATTGAATCAAGAATTAGAGGTAGCATTATTTTACCTAATTAATATCTTTCAACATGTCTATTTTTATTGCCTAGTAGGAAGAAAAATTAAGTTTTAATCTGAAATCATGAATTAGTGGTTTATTCATTATTGCAATACGTTTTTTTTCATATACATAAATAAATACTAAAGTTTTAATCTGAAATCATGAATTAGACTTAAATTTTGTACTGTTTCAAAACCAGACACGACCTGAATAATATAATTTAGACAATTCAATGCAATAATTAATAATTTAATGACCAAAGTCAGAATTCAGAACCGTTTGATTTAAATTACTCTTATTCAATATTCAATTGAAATTTCATCAAATGCAGTTTTAAATAATTTTAAATTGAGTCTGCAGTTTTATGTCAATGTTTAATTACTTCACAAGACGATATTCCAATTCAAGGTGAGATCATTCTATTAATTGTCTTTAATTTCGTAAAAACATAATTGATGATCATGACGAATACAATTTATTTCTTTTTGGCTTTGTATGAGTTGTACGTTTGACTTCCGTTGAATATCACATGCATACAATGTATATATACGAGATTTCAAATTTTGATTTGGTTTAATTTTCAAAAATTGTGTGATATACCTAATCGGGTCAGTCCAATGGGCGTACAATTACTTAATATACTGGGTTACAAGCTCAAATTTGAAGTCCACTCTTACGAATGCCCAATTACCTTCAGATAATGTTTGGACCCGATAATCTGAATTAATTAAAATTCAGCCTAATCAACAAGGTATAAATAAAAGTTTTAACTCATTTGTTAAGGTACGTTCTATTATCAAAGCAATTCAACTGCTTGTATGCTCTCAACTATTTATACTATTCGCACATCGGACTTGAGTGTCGGAGGGGTTTCTGCCGGATCAATACTCGACTTAGTTTAATTCTGATCGCAGGTGTCTCATGATCATCTAGCTCGTGAGCCAGTGACTCTCATGCTCTTCCAACTCATCCTATCACAACTAATCTAGGTGATCTATCTTTAGCATCATCATTGCGCTTATAATATCAATATTATTATATAGTTTTAGTTTATGTAACTAAAAATTAGAATTTTCTGAATTTCACCAATATTCCTTTTCGAAAATGTATGGTTTTGAAACTAGTTTTTCAATTACAAATGTTCCATTCTTTTTTTTTTTTTTAAATTATTTGAATGAAAGTGGAATTAGTTTTCCACTATAAAGAATCATAACAATGCCGAAAGTGCTAGTTTCGATCCATCTAGCTTACACCTCTAGTTTAATGTCATATATATATAGTCTTTTTTTAATTATATACAATGAAATCATTATAAATTAATACAGTTGGGATTAGCAAAATTCAATTAATTTAGCGAAATATTAATTATTAAATTAATAATTTAGTACATTTTAACTAAGTCGGACCGAAAGAAATTATTACTTAAACGATATTATTAATTAACTGAAGTTCTAATGTATAAGCACAGTTGCCACTCATAAATATAAATGGCTCAATAACGTATCACCAAAATCAATTAATTATTTATCCATCCCTCGTGGATGAGAATTAAAAATACATGCATGCTTAAATCATATACATATATCCAATTACGTGACTAAATTACCTTCATATACTCTTATTACATGAAATCAAATTCAATTAACATGCGTTACTTGGATTAATTAATCCTATTTATAGAACAACACAATTCCAATAAAACGAATTAAACCACATATTCCCATCTCACAAACCAAACACGTCCTAAACTAGTGTTTTATCTTTATATTATTAAAATTAAAAAAAAAAATGTATCCCAATCCTTATCCACTCACTAGAGAAGTATCTATGACACATATTTAAAACTGTAATATAATAAATTGATAAATGGAAGCCATGATTCAACTTGTGCAGACAATATTAATAGATTATATAGCATGATGGACCTACATATATATATATATAATACCACTCGATTAGTATTATTACAAAATTATTAATATAAAATGTAACAAGTTGAAATATATATAGCCCTACAATATCTTAATATATGGTGTCACACTATTAATTTATTTAATTTTTTCACTCGCCGCATGCAAATTAAACTTGATTACATATAAGTAAATTCGCAGCCAAAAAGGTGATCATGAAAAATCAAAAGAAGAGTGAAAAAATGTTTGTTCAATGATATAACTCTTAATTAAATGAGAGGGACTCGAATGATTAAAATTTGAATTCCCACAAGTTGGAACTTTTTTTTCTAATGCAATATTTACACAAAATTGAAAAAATTGACATATTAGTTTATTTATTTATTATTAAGGACTAATATTCATAGTATTCTGGGGATACCATAATACTTAAGGAGCTCCGAAGAATCACATTATGGATACACCGGGAATGATTGGAATTATTTTGGGAGTTATTTTATTTTATTTAGGAGATATATATTTTAAGGGAATATGTTGAGATTAAAAGTAATGCTTGTTTATAATATCAGATGACGCTAAGTACATTGTAGCTAGGGCTGAAAAATAATTACCGCCTATTGAATATCACGGTATATCTATCAAACAATACTGAAAAATT